CTTGCTGGACTGGAGGGAAGGGAAAAGAAAATCTATGGCACCTGGCTTTGTGACTTTAAGAACAAAAAGGCTTTTTTTTCTTTCATTTCTATCTTTCAGATCAACTTTGGAAGTAAATCATGTATTTGAATGCTAATGGGCTCTGTCCTAAGATGTCTAAAAGAGGGGCTTAGAAGGAGTAAAGTGGGACTTAAATTTTTGGCCTTATCTGGCATGAATATGGCAAACATTCCAAACAGCAAAACTAAATTTTTCCAGTACCAGTGTGTTTTTCAATGCTTTCATTTTTGTGGCTCAATTTTTTTGCTTAAAACTTCAGCAAAACTAGAATGCTATAAGTCAGCATGTCAGTAATTCTCTGTTATGATTATCTTGTATTTTCATGCAATATCTAATCTTCGCCCCTTATATAAAAGTCTGGCTTCTTTAATAACTTAACAAAGCCAGGATTAAGTACAACTTCCTGATTTGAGAAGAGCAAATAACTCAAATAGTTGACTTAGTACAATTTCAAAAAATTTAAGCCCATATATGTATGTCACTCACCTGAAGTTCCAAGTGTTCTTGTAAGAGTCGGTCGTATTCTTTTGAAAGTCTCTCTGATTGCATTTTCATCGTCATCATATCATTTTGCACCTTAGAAAGGGCTAGAAAACATTAGATAGAATTAAAAAAAAATTTATTTTGAAATAGTTTAAAATTTACAGAAACTTTTCAAGACCTACATAGAGGACTTCTTTGTAACCTTTACTCGAATTCACCAACTGTTAGTGATGTGGTACATTTGTTACTACATTCTCTCTCTACACACGCAGAATTATTTTCTTGGACCATTTGAGAGTAAGTTACAGATATCGTTGTGCCTCCTTAATCCTTAATACTTCATATATTTCCCAAGAACAAAGGTATTCTCTAATATAACCATAGTATAGTTATCAAATTTAGGAAATTTAACATTACTACTTTATCTAATCTACCATCCATATTCCAATTGTGGCAATTGTCCCAATTATGTCCTTTTTATATTTTGTACTTCTAGTCCAGTATCCATTCCTAGATCAAAGATTTGCATTAAGTTGTCATATCTCTAGCTTCCTTTACCTGGAATAGTTCCTTAGCCTCCTCCGCCCTCCTCTCCTCCATCTTTTGTGACTACAGGCCACTTTTTAAAGAATTTTTTTAAGAATAAAGGCCACTTTTTTTTTAAATAGAATGTTTTCTTTTTTGGTTTTGTCTGATGTTTCTTCATGATTAAATTCAGCTTATGCATCTCACTTACATATAAATATGAAATAAGTTATGTTGAATGTCTCTCAAGGTATCACATCAGAGGCCCATCTGCCTCTCACTGATTTTTCCATTTTATAGTTATTTTCCTCCTTGTAACTAAGAAACAGTATGTGGGAAGACAAGACTATGTAAACATCCTGTTCCTTAATAAATTTTCCCTTTATATTTAGCATCCACTGATAATTCTTGCCCAAACCAATCTTTATTATTATAATTATAAAATGGTGATTTTCCAGCTTCACTACTCCATCCACATTTGTCAACATTCTACTATAAAGAAGATTCTTTCTTATCTATCCATCATCAGTATGAACTCACAGGTGCCTATTTTTTTCAATGTTTTACAATTCATACTATACTTAATTTCCCCCAGATTTGGCCAGCAGGAACCCCCTTCGGACTGACTCTTATGTACTTTGACATAATGTCCCCATCATTTTTTGAGTACTTTACTTTCTGGCACAAGATATCCCGGGCTCATCCTAACCCTTCCTGGCTCAGCCTGGACTCATGTATTATAGAACCAAATGTATCGGAAAAGTCTGCTTTTGAAAACACCAACACGGAGAGATGAAAAATTACACACAAAAAATCACTTTCTTACATAAAGTTGCAAAATATGAGGGTGTATAAGTGGCACTTAAAGGCTTTACCTCAAGAGGATACACAAAAATGGCTACATATTAGCCTTTGTCCACCAAGGAGCTACAGTCTAAATCAACAGATTAGGCAGAAGTTAAAAAAAATGTGTGTGTGAATATATAAAATAAACATTTAAGTCGACACAATGTAGAGAAGCTAATGGGCAAACATGTGTAGAAGGGAAGAGTAGCACAAGATGGATTGGAGAAATTCTGGGAATCCAGAACTAGCTCTACATACAATTCTGCATATGTAGTTGCACAAACCACATCTAAAGTGCTCGGTACCACATGTGTAGTGTAGACAAAAGACACACAATAAAGAGACTAACTAATAGTGAGTGATAAGTGTCATAAAGAAAGTTAAAACAGGGTGATGGAATGTGAATGACTGTACAGCTACATTAGACTGAATAGTCAGAAAAAGTTTCTCTAAAGAAGTAAAATTTAAGCTACTATTAGTTTTGTATGCTAAGGAGGCCTTGAACAAAAGATATGTCAGTAGCAATGAGCATACCTAGGGTTCAGATTTTATTTTCTAAATACCATTCTCCACTTAAAGGAACCAAGGTTCATTGGAGAAATGGTAAATTCAAAGGCTGGAGGAGGAAAGGTACTAGATGAACTTGGAATATCTTGTTATTACAGAAAGAAAGTGCTTATAGAATGGGAGCATGACAAAATAGTAATGGCAAAATGAGCCAGTCTGTAAAGGCCGACTCTGAGAAGATTTGAACAATAAAGTATATAGCTCATGATGGATTATAACCCACTGAATATATTAAACGAGCAAACAAATAACTGGGGGGAAAAAGGAAAGCTCCTCCTTACAGTAGAATGGAATCTAATAAATGTAGAAGGAATTAGAAAATTAGAAAATTACCATTTGGAAAATAACAAAATAATAAGTGAGAAAATAACATAAAGAGAGAAAAGGATAAGGCAAATGTGAAATGTTATCATCTGGGTAACTGAGTGAAGAGTATCGGGAAATTTAAAAAATATTATTCTCCATCTTTCCTGTGAATTTGAAATTATATCTGTATAGAAAGTTAAAAAAAATTTTGCTACAAAATAGAACAGAGCAATGGTGCAGTAACTGGGAGAATATGAGACAAAGGGAAGTTTTTGTTTCTATTTCTTTTAAAAGAGATGCCAGAGGACGTTTGTAGGATGACAAGAAATAAGGGAGTAACTACAGAAACAAAGTCCTTGGGAAGGACAGTGGGGATGGGATGCGTAGCAGAAGAGAACTGACACTTAATCCAACGTAAACCAAGGACAGGCAGAGTTTAATGCTAGCTGGGAGAGGATGGTAGTTTTGGTGGTGGGAAGATGAAGCTTTTGTCTTATTAATTCCTTGTATCCACTGAAGCAGGATGGATTTAGAATTTAGATGTGAAATGAGAAAATCCAAAATAGTTTTGGAGAGTGGAAAAATAAAGTTTCTAGAGAAGTGCAATAGGATTGTCATGCAGTGTTGAGGACCCATTTGAATTTAGTGACCATTTATTAAAATAAGAAGTTAGTCCCTTAAGCAATGCTGAGATGTTTGGGTGCAGGTACTAAGCAGATAGATATCTGACAATTACCAGGACAAGGTCCTTGAGAGAGGAGGGGAGTGGAGGGTAGAAGAAGGGAAGGAGATGAAAGAGATAAATAGTTTGCAAGAACATGATTATGATGAACCTTGAAATCTAAACTGGGTCAGGAGGTAAGAGAAGGCACCAAATTCAGTGTTTGGGGTGAGATTTATTAGTATCTATCTGGAACACTAGGTGCATGCTGGCGACACACAGAGGATTTAGATGTGACCCTTGCCTTCTTCATAGCACTTACAATATAGTAAGAGAGACAAATAAAAAGATAATTTCTTACAGCTGAAATATTGGATTTCATTAACCAATGTCACCGTAAAACATAAATTAATTAAAAAAAAAAAAAGATAATTCTATAGAGTGCACTGTCAAATACGTGACCATGCAGGATTATGGAGGCCCACAAGGAGACTACTCAACCCAGCTTAAAGGGAGAGAGTTTTAGGGAAGCTTCCTAAAGCTGGCAACACTGGAGCTGAAGGATGAGCATGCGCTGTAGAGAAGAGTGAAGGAAAGAGTACATTAAGGCAGACAGACCTGCAGTCCTGGACATGGCAAAAGTAATGAAACACCACTGTTAGAACTACAAATTACAATATTTAATAAAGTAAGAGTATAAAATTTAGATTGGACAAAGCTGAGGGACAAAGCTAGAGATGATGCTAGGGGCCAGATCACAGAAGACAATGTATGCTATCTTGAAGAGCTGTAAAGGTGACAGAAACCAATAAAGACTTTTAAATAGTGCAGAGGCATAGTCATATATGTAGTGTTGAAACTGCTCTGGTGGCAATGTGAAGAAGCCAGACTAATGGCAAGGGGACTAAAGTGGGACATACTTTAGAAGAATGCTTGATTTGCAAGAAGAGGAGTAAGACATTTTTGGAATGAACATAAAGCTGCACCAGTGATTATAATACAGTAAACGTTAATGAATAAAACCAAATATAGCTCTTTTTCACATGCAAAAAACAAAGGAGAAATTAATGATATATTTTTTTGCGTGTGTCTCAATTCTCTACCCATCACTGGGTATACTAGTGACTGCCTAGGGTGCTGGGATCATGAATGAGGTTCATGGGTAACCTTTTGGGTTTAGGAAGACATGGACTTCAGGCAGGCTAATACTTATAAAGATTACTGGTACTTTGGGCCAGGGAACTGATAAGCAGGCTTTCCAATTTAATAAAAAAAAATAGCCCAACTGTGTATGCTGTTGGCAAAAGACATACCAATAAATGCATAAAGACTTCCTTCATTAATCTTTCTTAAGTTGCTAAGTAATGTATTTACGAAAACAGTTTTGGTTTTGTTATTTAGCAAAGAATAATTACAAACCATATTAATATGCTGGCTTTGCACTTAAAAATGAGGATGTATGTTTTAGGCAAATCACTGTGTAAGTGTAGGTTATAACAAATTGCTTTGAAAAGGGTATGCTTTATAAAGCAATTACACATGTAAGCAAGAGCATATGCAAAACCTAGAATTACCAACCTATCATACATAAGAACTGGAGTCAACTTATGTTGACTATAAAAACAAAGAACTAGTTTTACTAAACATAAGCATATACAATTTCTTAAATTATCTGATCAATATTCATTCAACTTAGATGCACAGTAAATTTTTAAACAGTATTAACAGCAAAAGCAAATCTTTTCAGCATCACCTCATTTATACTGAAAAAGGTACTCTTCTTTATTTGAAAATCCTAAATAGGGGTCGGCAAACTGTTTCTGTAAAGGGCAAGGTAGTAAATATTTTTAGCCTTCTGTGCCATGCAGACTCTATCCAGTCTATTCAACTCTACAGCCACAGCAAATAAGTTAAAGAATGATTGTAGCTTTGTTCCAATACAATTTAATTTATAAAAACAAGGCAGCAGGCTGGATTTGGCCCACGGGCCATAGTTTGCCGACTCCGGTTCTATAACAACACTTGTAAGTTTTGACAGTTTCTCTTAAATTATAAATTTACTCAAAATAACTATAAAATATCAGAACATGAAAAGAGGGTTAAAATTATACTGGAAATTTTAAGAAACCTCCTAAAAAGTTTCCCATTGTATGTCTATCAATTTTCCTTATAGAAAGAACAAAGACTATACAGTTAGGA